TTAATCGTACTCATTTTGGCACTGTTAATAAGTAGGTTAGTCGAGAATCCATGTTAAATGTATCTCAATGTTAATCAATGTCAATTGTCTCTGCCTCACAATCCAGAGAGTATATGTCTTGTAAATTATAAGAGTCACCCAATGTTGTCAAAATTTCTGATTTGTGACGTATAGTTTAAGTAGAAATGGACAACAATAAAGCATTTTGAAGTTCTTGTGGTTGGCTCGTCGTGGACGGACGTGTTTTCGCCGAGCTCCAGACAGCCGGCCGGCCAGCGCCCGCGCCCGCGCGCAACAAGAACACTCAAACTAACGAAAAAATTTTTACAAGTGTTTTTAATATTTTCCAATAAAATAAAAATTAAATTAAAATCAAATAAAGGAAAATGCTTGGGTTAATAAATTAAATTAAAATCAGTTTAATAAATGAAAATTAAACGCCAATCAGCATTTTTAAATGCTTAAAACACCAAAGACAATTAAAATGGAAATTAAATGGAAAAATGACAGCCAATAAATTAATTAAAAAATATTATTAAATAAATTAATAATGCCAATCAGCATTTTTAAATGCTAATAAATCAATAAATAATATTATATAAATAATAAAGTAATTAAATATTGTGACTTGTGCAAGTGCAGTAATCTTTTTTGTTAATAATATTAACAAGCCAACAATTTGAGGAGAGACGACCAGACGAGGAGACAGACAGAGGGAAATCTACGCCCAAAAAAAAAACATACATAAATTATACATATAACTACGTATATGCAAATTTTGGCAAGTATATAAGCAAAGTATATAAGCGAAAAAATGCGCGAAAAGGCGGCGTCTAAAGCGGAGGCGGCCATCGCTGCAGCGAAAGTTGCCCCCCATACCCCGGCACCTGTAGCCATTGGCACTCCAATACAGCTGCATCAGCATCCACACCAACACCAGCAACGGCAACCGCTACATCATCAGAAGCAGCAACAACATCAGCAGCAGAAGAAGAGAAAGCCGAAGCCGAAACATAAGCGAGCGACTCCGCTCTCTGCAGCTCAGTCGCTGTCGGCGCTTGCGTCGGCAGAGGCTCCACTTGATCGTTTGAGTGGCGGCGGCAGCGGCAGCAGAGCAGCAACGGAGCTGAGTGAATTCAACAGCGACAGCAATGGACTGAGTGAGAGCGAACATGGCAACATGTTCGATACGAACTCAGAGCCAAATGTTTGGAGCGAGAACATGGGGCGTCAGCAACATGTTGCTAGAGCGCAAGTACACGGCAACATGTATACTGACAGCCCAGCCAATACTGACACAGACTCGCACTGTCCCCATAAACATCTCATCCCACGGGATAACACAGCAACTTTAAAAAATAATGCTGAGATACAATCACTGGACATACTATGCCCAGCCACCTTAATGTTAGCTAGCATCATTGCTAGCTCATTCAATGCCGCCAATGACCTTAAAAATGTCTAACAGCCAATTCGTTAATATAAACAATACCAATGCCAACACATTAAATAATATTAATAATAATAACAATTTAGACACTACTACTATACAAACTAGTAATAATACCTTAGCCAATAACACTAGGAATCATGCCAGTAGCAGACAATGTGGCCACCCATTCAAAATGGCCTATTGGAACGCTGCTGGAGTATCCAACAAGTGCAGAGAAATGGAAGCCTTTATGTGCCATCACAATGTTGACATTATGATGGTCATTGAATTACGCCAAAGAGCCAGCCAGTCAGCATCTAACTCAGTCAGAGGACCATTTGCGAACAACGTCTCACCAAGCATAGATGGCTATCACACATATGTGGCAACACGTAAAGCACCAAATCAAAGATTTGGAGGTGTCGCCATACTCATCAGACATGGCATCAAGCATATTGCTCTGGAACCAATAATGCAAGATGCCTGCCAATGCGCACCAGTTGCCATCACCTTATCAACACAGGAAACCATTTTAGTCGCTCCGATATATTGCCCACCGCAATATAAATGGACGTCAGAAAACTTTGGCAAACTACTTAGCCACATTGATAGCCTGAGTCCGCAGGGATTCATAATATGTGGCGACTGGAATGCCAAAAGCACTTGGTGGGGCAATATGCGACACTGCCAACGAGGGAGGGAGCTATTGAGGACAATACACTCGAACAAAAAATATAACATATTAGCGACGGGCGGAACCACGCATTATCCCTACGCAAGAGGGAATCAACCATCCGCAATCGACTTCGCCATCTATGGAGGCATTGGAGACAGGCGTCTACGTACATATTCGATAAACGACCTAAACTCTGATCACCTGCCAATACTTATTGACCTGGCTATCGGTCAGGCACTGAATAGAAACAATGTAAAAAATAAAATTTTGCCAAGGAATGCAAATATCAAGAAATTTAAGAGAATACTTAATCAAAATCTACGATTAAACATCGAAATTAATTCGGGAACTGACATAGAGGATGCAATCGACATCCTGTATAGAAAAATAGAGAATGCAGCCTCAGCTGCAACTCCCCCCCTCCGCCGAAGATGGCAGCAATTAAGTCGCACGAGATATGGCCGAAATAAATTAAGCGCAAGCACTCTGAGGCAAATAAGAATAAAAAGGCAACTAAAATCTTCATATATGCTGCTACGCACACCGTTAGCACGCAGCCAATACAGACAGGCTCAAAACCGTCTAAATAGATTACTGCGCCGTGATAAGAATGATAATCTTAACCGGCAAATAGCAAAGATAAACGAAACGGACACAAATCGGATACAACAATTATGGAGGACCACAAACTTCATAAAACGTCAGCCAGAGCCGAATCGCCCATTAAAAATTATCTCTGGCACCACTACGTCCAATGGCAATGGTATACAAAATCATAATAGAACTATTGAATGGACAAAAACGAATGAGCAGAAGGCAGAAGTCTTTGCAGCATACCTTGAGCAAAGATTCAGCCTAAACTTAACAAATACGGCTGAAGAGCGATCACAGACCAGCAATGAGGTGACTCAGTTTATGCAACTACAGCAACAACAGCAGCATGGGCAGATAAATACACCGCCATTCCGCCCAGTCACAGACAAGGAGGTATGTCAACTGATTGCCGCCTTGACATTAAAAAAGACGCCGGGCATTGATAACATTGACAATCATGTTATTAAGTCACTTCCGCATAAAGCGATACTATATCTCACTCACATTTACAACTGCATACTTAGACACGGACATTTTCCGCGCCAATGGAAATGTGCAGAGATTAAAATGATCCTAAAAACGGGTAAACCAACGGAAAAGGCTAGCTCCTACCGGCCAATAAGTCTGCTGGCAGGGTTCAGCAAGATATTCGAACGAATCCTTATGACGAGGATGTTTGAATGCAAAAACTTTGCCCAGTCAATACCGAACCACCAATTTGGATTCCGCAAGGAACATGGCACAGAACAACAATTGGCGAGAGTAACGCAATTCATACTGAATGCGTATGAAAAGAAACAATACTGCTCGGCTGTGTTCATCGACATCTGCGAAGCATTTGATCGTGTCTGGCACGAGGGTCTGCTAAGCAAACTGGCCAAATTACTACCTGCAGTTTTGTGGAATGTACTCAAAAGCTATCTCACTGACCGTACATTTATTGTAAATGGAAATGAGGGAACTAAATCGAGAATTGGACATATTAGCGCTGGAGTACCCCAGGGCAGTGTATTGGGACCGATACTGTACACAGTATACACATCGGACATGCCACTCCCCTCAACTGCGTTGAGGAATTTATGGGCCACAAATGAGCCTACAACAACAACATCTGCATCTGCAGATACAACACTAACTCCCAGTATGCTGCTCTCCACATTTGCCGACGACACGGTAGTAATGTGTGCAGCGCCATTTTCCGATATAGCTGTCAATAGAAATGATAGATATCTGCAAGCGTTTGAGAAATGGACAAAACGTTGGTGCATACAAGTAAATGTGAGCAAAACAGCACATGTCATGTTTACATTGCGCACGACACTACGACAAAGCCAGACAGCAACTTCACCAAGGCTAAACGGTCAGGAAATAGCCAACAAATCAAGACACCAATATTTGGGAGTTCAGCTGGACAAGAAGCTGAACATGAAACAACACGTCACTACGCTATGTGCACGCACTGGTGCACTGTGCAAAAAATTGGATTGGCTTATTGGTGCCAAGAGCCCGCTAAATATCGCATGCAAAATGACGATATATAAGCAAATGATTGCACCAATATGGCGCTATGCACTCCCAATTTGGGGTGCATTATTATCATCAACACAATTCAATCGCCTTGAAGTTGGTCAAAATAAAATTCTACGCAGAATAGCCAAGGCCACAAGATACACGCGCAATCAGACAATACGGGAATCCCACGGCATAGACACGGTGGATGAAATCTACCAACAGGCTAGCGAAAGGTTTGCTAGAGCCCTCAGCAACCATCCAAATATAAATGCTCGCAAACTAATAAGCGAACCATATACGCCAATACGCCTAAATAGGCCCTTATACTCGCTCCAGCTTGAACGTCACGTGCGCCCCTTGCAACAATTGCAGCAGCAGCACCTAACAACCGATGACCAAGAAATGGAGGACAGACTGCCAACACTCCTGCGACTTGAGCATGAGGAACAGGAGGCAAGGAGACAAGCCAATGCGCCCAGTCTAAATACAGATACATACGGACAGCGGCCAAGACCTACCATTCGATTCGGCGAGGGACAAATAAACACGCTTAGACGTCGCTACAGAAGTGGACTCATGTCAAGCGAAAATCTAATTGATTTCATCCGGGATCAACCAGCCATCATACAAAAACTAATCCTGTCTGATATACAAATAGCGCAAACACCACCACCAACTGGCCAACAGCAACAACAACAGGAACACCTAAACAACAACAATGATGAACAGCAACTAAGCCAACGTTTGGAACAAATCAGAATCCAAATTGAACGCGAAATAGATGAGATGCAGCAACAAAGCCACAATGAGCAACAGAGGATTCAAACAGCCCACCAATCAGCCCAACGGACAATATATGACCTGACGGCAGACGATTCCAACAATGATGATGATGATGACTCTGTCATTTGGATCAACAGCAGCCCCAGTGGCGTGGACAATAACACACATTCTTTTATTTCACAGATACCTACCTCTGGTAATCAGCTAATCCGGCTAAATGAGCAGCCTACCGGCCTGATGGCACCAATCCACGCAGATGACGACAATGAGCCGCCACAGCAGCAGCAGCCTACGCAGACAGCCCAGACGGTGCTTTCACAGCAGAAACTGCAACAATCAATTCAGCTGCTGGATACCCGGCAGCTACCAGCCACTCCGCAGCCGCAGCAACAGCAGCTCCAAGACACGTCGCCAGCCAATAGGCTGAAACGGAAGAGAATCCCATCTCAAACCGCTCAACGGCCTAACAATACCTGCAAGAATAACGAATATCAGCAAAAACGTCCAGCCATCAAGCACACAGTCTCTGAATCAGAGCTGACGCCAAAAAAACCATGCAGGTACTTAGCTTCAACCTGGGATCTACAATTATCCCAACAGCGACTACAGCTCGGCAAACGGCACCATGTGGACCCCGCTTATGCTGATCCTCCCTCGCCAAAGAGAAGCCGAATGCAACAACAACGGCATGCCAATAAGCCAGCGTGCATACTTATCCACTACACTAGTGGCAAATGGGTAGTACAATGGCCAAAAATCTTGGGGGTATGGTTACTCCTATCCAGCATCGGCCTAAGGGCACAGCATCAATCCATCACCTGGAAGGCGCTCGTCACATCCGTGGCCACAGAGCGCATATGGCTGCAGGCTCAGCCTGCCAAGCGACGACCTGGTCTCCATGGGATCCAAATTACCCACTCCAGGGCAATAGCCAGGCGACCTGCGCACCGCAAAGCGGTGCGATACAAAGTAGATATAGAAATCAAATTAAACTAGCCAATAATTTTGTTAAAATTAATAATATTCAAATACTTACATGCGAGCAGCATGCTTCCTAATACACATGTACTTGCCAACACTGCGTCAGCATTGCCAACTGATCGCAAAAAATTTCCCCCATGCTAACTGACCTACACTAAGAATGTTAATCGTACTCATTTTGGCACTGTTAATAAGTAGGTTAGTCGAGAATCCATGTTAAATGTATCTCAATGTTAATCAATGTCAATTGTCTCTGCCTCACAATCCAGAGAGTATATGTCTTGTAAATTATAAGAGTCACCCAATGTTGTCAAAATTTCTGATTTGTGACGTATAGTTTAAGTAGAAATGGACAACAATAAAGCATTTTGAAGTTCTTGTGGTTGGCTCGTCGTGGACGGACGTGTTTTCGCCGAGCTCCAGACAGCCGGCCGGCCAGCGCCCGCGCCCGCGCGCAACAAGAACACTCAAACTAACGAAAATTTTTACAAGTGTTTTTAATATTTTCCAATAAAATAAAAATTAAATTAAATTAAAATCAAATAAAGGAAAATGCTTGGGTTAATAAATTAAATTAAAATCAGTTTATTAAATGAAAATTAAACGCCAATCAGCATTTTTAAATGCTTAAAACACTAAAGACAATTAAAATGGAAATTAAATGGAAAAATGACAGTCAATAAATTAATTAAATAATATTATTAAATAAATTAATAATGCCAATCAGCATTTTTAAATGCTAATAAATCAATAAATAATATTATATAAATAATAAAGTAATTAAATATTGTGACTTGTGCAAGTGCAGTAATCTTTTTTGTTAATAATATTAACAAGCCAACAATTTGAGGAGAGACGACCAGACGAGGAGACAGACAGAGGGAAATCTACGCCCAAAAAAAAAAAAAAAACATACATAAATTATACATATAACTACGTATATGCAAATTTTGGCAAGTATATAAGCAAAGTATATAAGCGAAAAATGCGCGAAAAGGCGGCGTCTAAAGCGGAGGCGGCCATCGCTGCAGCGAAAGTTGCCCCCCATACCCCGGCACCTGTAGCCATTGGCACTCCAATACAGCTGCATCAGCATCCACACCAACACCAGCAACGGCAACCGCTACATCATCAGAAGCAGCAACAACAACAGCAGCAGAAGAAGAGAAAGCCGAAGCCGAAACATAAGCGAGCGACTCCGCTCTCTGCAGCTCAGTCGCTGTCGGCGCTTGCGTCGGCAGAGGCTCCACTTGATCGTTTGAGTGGCGGTGGCAGCGGCAGCAGAGCAGCAACTGAGCTGAGTGAATTCAACAGCGACAGCAATGGACTGAGTGAGAGCGAACATGGCAACATGTTCGATACGAACTCAGAGCCAAATGTTTGGAGCGAGAACATGGGGCGTCAGCAACATGTTGCTAGAGCGCAAGTACACGGCAACATGTATACTGACAGCCCAGCCAATACTGACACAGACTCGCACTGTGTTTTATCAAGACAGGAAGCTGGAAATGAGTTAAACAATGCCGATTCCAACTTATCGGCTAGCCAATGCGTCCGCAATGAGGACATTATTGCAAATAATTATGCTGCAAATATGCCAACAAATTTAATGGAAATTTCTGGATTTGAAAATGAGGCGAGCGGACAGCCACCAATTGATATAATGGATATTATTTTGGGGTTCGAAATGCCTGAGCCATCAAATGACAATACGGCTGCCAAGCGGCCACAAAAACGAAAAATAGCGACTAAGCAAACACTTAATAAGCGCCCAGCTAAAAGTGGTGGCTCGAATGCTGGCAATATTAAGAATGCTACCTTCACAGCCACAGTCAACAACAACAACAACAACAACAACAGGGTCAGCGATAGTGAGAATGATGACATGGAAGTTGAAGAAACGGCCTCCAACTGTATGTCGAATACAGACTCCGGCCAGCCAATCCAGCAGACAACAGCTCATAGGGTCAGAGTGCCCACAATTTATCTGCCCAATGTGGATGATATTCAACAGTTAACTGCAAATATCACGAACAATTTGGGTGCCAATAAATTCGCCACCAAATGCACTCAGGCAGGTGGTGTGCGAGTACAATGTGCCGATATTGAGGCATACAATGCAGCAATCAAGCTGCTTGATGCATCAAATATATACCGGCATACCCATCAACTGCGCAATGAGCGCGGAGCACGGTATATTATACGCCACCTGCACTATTCAACGCCATGCGATTGGATTCGCATGGAGCTGAGAAGATTGGGACATGTGGTGAGATATGTGGACGTTTTAAAACAACGCTACACGGCCAAGCCAATAAATATTTTTGAAATAGAAATTGAGCCGAAAGCGGACACTAATAATAACATACTGGAAATAAAGCATCTTGGCAGCCAGGAAGTTAAAGTGGAGAGGCAGCGGAAGCGCACTGATCCTGTTCAGTGCCACCGTTGCCAGGCATATGGTCACAGCAAGAACTATTGCCGTCGACCGTTCATATGCCTCAAATGCGGGCTAGGACACCCCACAACAATGTGCACCAAGGCAAGAGGCGCGCCTTCTAGGTGCGCCAATTGCCAGGGTGAACATATTGCCAGCTATAAAGGATGCAAGGCCTTTAAGGATGAGCGAGCTAAGCTAGCTGCTAATAGATTACGTACATCAACTAATCAGCAGCAGCAGCAGAAGCATCAGCTAGCAGTCAATAAGCGCACTAAAGTAGCGCATAATGAGGCGTCCAGTCAACAACAAAAGCATAAAAATATGGTCAACTCCACTATGACATACAGTCAGGTGGCTAGAGGGCATGCCAATTCTGGCCGGGTACGTAATCCGGCCACTAAACATCTTCAACAATTCCAGCAGAGGCTCCAGCTGGAACACAAACAGCAGCAGAAGAAGCAGTCGGGCCAATTAGTGGCAGAGAGGGCTACAAATACATCAATATCTACCCATCAGCAGCAATACAAACGACAGCAACAACAACAACAACAACAACAACAAAAACAGCTAAATGGAGAAATTCCGGCCAATAATGCAGCTATAGAAGCTTTTACAAGCGATATGGCTGCAATGCATCAAATGGCCCAAAAATTGGATCAGGTAGTTGGCCTACTATTACAAATAGTAGCCAACTCAAATATTTCTATGCCTGCAACAAATTTGCACGGCTCAGCCACACGGACGCTATCTAGATCACAGATTGATAGCGCCCGTCAAGACGCCAATGATATACAAAATGTATAAAACAAGAAGAGACACTAAGAGAAACGGCCGTAGAGTTTGGGAGAACATAACAAACACTCGGAACGAACAAACTGCAATTAATGTATTAACATGTAAAGCCACTCCTTACTCATGCAGACAGGTAAATCGGCTATCAGCCTTCAATTTCGCTAGCATCAGCGATAATAATACAGATTTGGCAATCGACCAGACAACCAATAAGGCAACAGCCCTCAATTTCGCTAGCATCAGCGATAATAATACAGATTTGGCAATCGGCCAGACAACCAATAAGGCAAATAAACGCCATAAGCAATATATAGAAGCCGTCGATGAGCTTCAAAAATACATCTTAGATGATATACAAGCAGCCTTAGAATCAAATTTTGATTTTGATTCTGAGGATGCATTCGAATTCATGAATGATATATACAATCATGCAGAATATGTTTCTCCCCAACTCAGCCGTAGCCGAAAAGGTACCTCTATGTCTAAAAGGAAATATAGAGGGCACACGCTGCTACGCGCAACACTAGCGTGTAGTAAGATAAAATACAGCGTGCCCAAAACATGCACTCTATGGCATAATAATCAGATGGACAACTTAGAGTTGCCATCAGATAGCATTAATCAGGAATTTAATTTCTCTATCCAACAGCCATTAATGCACAATGTGCAACAAAAACAACAACAAGAACAACTACAGCTGACTGATGAAGAGCAACAGCTAGAAGACAACATCTATGAGGACATAATTGATGCTATGTTCTTTATAGTATGTACTGAGACCACTGATATTGATTTAGAAGAGCGTAATTATATAGATGATATATGGATGGAAATGATGAATATAGCACTTAAAGAAAAATTACCTCAGCCACTAACTAACAGATCAATTTATCCGCCACTAATAAAGAGACTAACAAAATCGGACCCCGATAAGAACAGAAAAATTAGAGAAATTTTAAGTCAATTTCAGTTCTCACTTACCGGTGATCGGCTCATCCGGTTGACAACACGGCAGCAACGAGGCATATGCGAACAGCTCCAGCCGACGGCATCCAATCCGGCCTCCCATGGTATCCAACAACATCCGCAAATCCAGCAGCAAGCCCCCTGGGGGCAACAAAAGCAACAGCAACAGTCGATGGCAGCCAATCCGGCCTCCTATGGCCTCCACGAACATCCGCAAATACAGCAGCAAGCCCCTTGGGGGCAACAAAAGCAACAGCTCCAGCCGACGGCATCCAATCCGGCCTCCTATGGCCTCCATGAACATCCGCAAATCCAGCAGCAAGCCCCTTGGGGGCAACAAAAGCAACAGCAACAGTCGATGGCAGCCAATCCGGCCTCCTATGGCCTCCATGAACAAGCAACAATCCACCAAGATGGGCAGCAGAGCCAACAACACCATCACCAATCGACGGTAGCCACCACGGCCTCCAATGGCATGGCACAGCAGCAACCAATGCGGCAGACGGACCAGAAGGATCACCAGGGACAGCATCAGCTGTCAAAGGTGACCATAGAGGCTCCTCCTGGCCAACACCAGCATCTCCAAATTGAGTTGCCGGCCCATATGGGCCAGCAGCACAAAGCGAGTACAGTCACTATGGCCAAGCAAGACCAGCATTCGGCCCAATGGGGGCAGCGGCTCCAGCAAGAATGGTCGATGGTTGTCAAATTGGCCTCCAGTGAACACCAGAAGCACCAGCCAATCCAGCAGCACCTGCTTGCAGGCGAGCAGCTACAGGAAAAGCGATTGACGGCGAGCATGACGGCCTTTCCTGACCGTCAAACGCATCCGCCAATCCAGCTGCCCGCTTACAAGCCGGAGCAGCTACAGAAGCTATGTTCAACGTCGGCCTCCACGGGCCAGCGGCAGCAGCAGCAACAGCAGACATACGCATCCAATCCGGCCTCCTATGGCGCACGTCAACACCAGCAAATCCAGCAGCACGCCCTATGGGAGCAGCAGTTTCAGCAACAAGGGCCAATGGCGGCCTCAAATCAGCAACAGCATCCACTAATTGAGCGGCAAATCCTCCGAGGACGACGGCGCTCAAATAACCGATCGACGGTGGCCACCACGGCATCCCAGGGTATGTCACAGCATCCACTAATACGGCAGACAGACCAGAAGGATCACCAGGGACAGCAACAGCTGTCAATGGTGACCATAGAGGCTTCTCCTGACCAGCACCAGCATCTCCAAATTGAGTTGCCGGCCCATATGGGCCAGCAGCATCAAGCGATGCCAGCCACTACGGCCTCTCAGGGCCAGCAACAGAAGCCGAAAATTGGTCAGCCTGTTGTTGAGGGACAGCAGGCGCATATACAGAGATCGACGGTGGCCAAAATATCCATGGATGGCCACGGTACGCATCCGCAATTCCACCGACCTGCCTATACGGGAAGGCGATGTATGCAGAGGCGACGACCGATGGCAGCCCAGAGGCCATTAAAACAACGCAGAAGCTGCCACTACCTGAAAAAGAGCAATTTGAATCACCATGGCAAAAAGAAAACAAAGCCAATTGTGTACATACCTGCACAGCCGGACATGCGCGACAAACAGCGATCAGCGAAGGAGACTTGGCAACTCGTCAAGCGACACCCACTCGATGCTGAGTGGCCGGTGTCTGCTCCACCTGATCGCCCTATAATGATGCAGCGCAAGCTGCACGTCAATAAGCCTCCGGGCAATATTAAGCGTAGAAGGCGTGGCAGCAAGGAGACGATCAATTGGTCACGCATCCTGGGCGCGTGGCTTATGATGTCCACCATTGCTAGCCAGCAGATCCAGCAGCAGCAGCAGCATCACCAAAAAGCATCTAACACGATGCAGACTCCAGCGGCAGAAGCGGCGGCCAACAAGCAATTCAAATTGCAATGCAATTGCTCAACAAGCGTGCCAAGTCGACGATGGTGGAAGAATACCCACCGCAAGGCCAGAGGCAGGCGTCCAGCGCACCGAAAGGCGGTGCGTTATAAAAGTTAATTATTTAATTTTATTTTTGCCACAAAATTATTAATTTAAATTCAAATTTTCACTTGCACGCTTCTAGCGTGCCGATAAGTATTTTTTTTTTTTTTTTTTCCACACATACTTGCCAACACTGCGTCAGCATTGCCAACTGATCGTAAAAAATTTCCCCCATGCTAACTGACCTACACTTAGAATGTTAATCGTACTCATTTTGGCACTGTTAATAAGTAGGTTAGTCGAGAATCCATGTTAAATGTATCTCAATGTTAATCAATGTCAATTGTCTCTGCCTCACAATCCAGAGAGTATATGTCTTGTAAATTATAAGAGTCACCCAATGTTGTCAAAATTTCTGATTTGTGACGTATAGTTTAAGTAGAAATGGACAACAATAAAGCATTTTGAAGTTCTTGTGGTTGGCTCGTCGTGGACGGACGTGTTTTCGCCGAGCTCCAGACAGCCGGCCGGCCAGCGCCCGCGCCCGCGCGCAACAAGAACACTCAAACTAACGAAATGGTATAGCCTAACCAGGGTTGTAAAAAAGTCAACTTACCCAAAAATCACTTGGATTTGCATAAAATGTATATTTTTGTGGCTAATTATGCAAAACTAAATGGTATAGCCTAACCAGGGTTGGAAAAAAGTCAACTTACCCAAAAATCACTTGGATTTGCATAAAATGTATATTTTTGTGGCTAATTATGCAAAACTAAATGGTATAGCCTAACCAGGGTTGGAAAAAAGTCAACTTAACCAAAAATCACTTGGATTTGCATAAAATGTATATTTTTGTGGCTAATTATGCAAAACTAAATGGTATAGCCTAACCAGGGTTGGAAAAAAGTCAACTTAACCAAAAATCACTTGGATTTGCATATAATGTATATTTTTGTGGCTAATTATGCAAAACTAAATGGTTTAGCCTAACCAGGGTTGGAAAAAAGTCAACTTAACCAAAAATCACTTGGATTTGCATATAATGTATATTTTTGTGGCTAATTATGCAAAACTAAATGGTTTAGCCTAACCAGGGTTGGAAAAAAGTCAACTTAACCAAAAATCACTTGGATTTGCATATAATGTATATTTTTGTGGCTAATTATGCAAAACTAAATGGTTTAGCCTAACCAGGGTTGGAAAAAAGTCAACTTAACCAAAAATCACTTGGATTTGCATATAATGTATATTTTTGTGGCTAATTATGCAAAACTAAATGGTTTAGCCTAACCAGGGTTGGAAAAAAGTCAACTTAACCAAAAATCACTTGGATTTGCATATAATGTATATTTTTGTGGCTAATTATGCAAAACTAAATGGTTTAGCCTAACCAGGGTTGGAAAAAAGTCAACTTAACCAAAAATCACTTGGATTTGCATATAATGTATATTTTTGTGGCTAATTATGCAAAACTAAATGGTTTAGCCTAACCAGGGTTGGAAAAAAGTCAACTTAACCAAAAATCACTTGGATTTGCATATAATGTATATTTTTGTGGCTAATTATGCAAAACTAAATGGTTTAGCCTAACCAGGGTTGGAAAAAAGTCAACTTAACCAAAAATCACTTGGATTTGCATATAATGTATATTTTTGTGGCTAATTATGCAAAACTAAATGGTTTAGCCTAACCAGGGTTGGAAAAAAGTCAACTTAACCAAAAATCACTTGGATTTGCATATAATGTATATTTTTGTGGCTAATTATGCAAAACTAAATGGTTTAGCCTAACCAGGGTTGGAAAAAAGTCAACTTAACCAAAAATCACTTGGATTTGCATATAATGTATATTTTTGTGGCTAATTATGCAAAACTAAATGGTTTAGCCTAACCAGGGTTGGAAAAAAGTCAACTTAACCAAAAATCACTTGGATTTGCATATAATGTATATTTTTGTGGCTAATTATGCAAAACTAAATGGTTTAGCCTAACCAGGGTTGGAAAAAAGTCAACTTAACCAAAAATCACTTGGATTTGCATATAATGTATATTTTTGTGGCTAATTATGCAAAACTAAATGGTTTAGCCTAACCAGGGTTGGAAAAAAGTCAACTTAACCAAAAATCACTTGGATTTGCATATAATGTATATTTTTGTGGCTAATTATGCAAAACTAAATGGTTTAGCCTAACCAGGGTTGGAAAAAAGTCAACTTAACCAAAAATCACTTGGATTTGCATATAATGTATATTTTTGTGGCTAATTATGCAAAACTAAATGGTTTAGCCTAACCAGGGTTGGAAAAAAGTCAACTTAACCAAAAATCACTTGGATTTGCATATAATGTATATTTTTGTGGCTAATTATGCAAAACTAAATGGTTTAGCCTAACCAGGGTTGGAAAAAAGTCAACTTAACCAAAAATCACTTGGATTTGCATATAATGTATATTTTTGTGGCTAATTATGCAAAACTAAATGGTTTAGCCTAACCAGGGTTGGAAAAAAGTCAACTTAACCAAAAATCACTTGGATTTGCATATAATGTATATTTTTGTGGCTAATTATGCAAAACTAAATGGTTTAGCCTAACCAGGGTTGGAAAAAAGTCAACTTAACCAAAAATCACTTGGATTTGCATATAATGTATATTTTTGTGGCTAATTATGCAAAACTAAATGGTTTAGCCTAACCAGGGTTGGAAAAAAGTCAACTTAACCAAAAATCACTTGGATTTGCATATAATGTATATTTTTGTGGCTAATTATGCAAAACTAAATGGTTTAGCCTAACCAGGGTTGGAAAAAAGTCAACTTAACCAAAAATCACTTGGATTTGCATATAATGTATATTTTTGTGGCTAATTATGCAAAACTAAATGGTTTAGCCTAACCAGGGTTGGAAAAAAGTCAACTTAACCAAAAATCACTTGGATTTGCATATAATGTATATTTTTGTGGCTAATTATGCAAAACTAAATGGTTTAGCCTAACCAGGGTTGGAAAAAAGTCAACTTAACCAAAAATCACTTGGATTTGCATATAATGTATATTTTTGTGGCTAATTATGCAAAACTAAATGGTTTAGCCTAACCAGGGTTGGAAAAAAGTCAACTTAACCAAAAATCACTTGGATTTGCATATAATGTATATTTTTGTGGCTAATTATGCAAAACTAAATGGTTTAGCCTAACCAGGGTTGGAAAAAAGTCAACTTAACCAAAAATCACTTGGATTTGCATATAATGTATATTTTTGTGGCTAATTATGCAAAACTAAATGGTTTAGCCTAACCAGGGTTGGAAAAAAGTCAACTTAACCAAAAATCACTTGGATTTGCATATAATGTATATTTTTGTGGCTAATTATGCAAAACTAAATGGTTTAGCCTAACCAGGGTTGGAAAAAAGTCAACTTAACCAAAAATCACTTGGATTTGCATATAATGTATATTTTTGTGGCTAATTATGCAAAACTAAATGGTTTAGCCTAACCAGGGTTGGAAAAAAGTCAACTTAACCAAAAATCACTTGGATTTGCATATAATGTATATTTTTGTGGCTAATTATGCAAAACTAAATGGTTTAGCCTAACCAGGGTTGGAAAAAAGTCAACTTAACCAAAAATCACTTGGATTTGCATATAATGTATATTTTTGTGGCTAATTATGCAAAACTA